GGGGGAGGGGGAGGGGGAGGTGGCGGAGGAGGAGAAGATGGAAAAGAGGAAGGGGGAGGAGGAGGGGGAGAGGGAGAAGGAGAACGAAGGAAAGAGGAGGAGAAGGTGGATGAGGAAGATGCACGGACCAGCGAAGCATACGTCGAAACCATTGTGTAAGACGAGTTACATGTATAGGTTGTCGACGTTGGCGCGCACAAATGTAACAAGTCCATCCACGGGCCAACGTTGAAGGAGCATGGCCACGGGAAAGCAAACGGCAGACAAGGATGGTTGCCGCATTTTTGAAATCATGCCAATTGTCACAAATCTGCTCAAACCGCGTAAGCTGGCCAGCGAACACACCTGCAGGCTGATGAGACGGAATGTTGGACGTTGCACTAGGATATCGTATAACAGGAAAATCCAATGCAACTGTCTTGTCAAACACACTCAATCGGAGAGATCCATTTGCTCGTGTCTGGAGTTTTGCACCTAAAAAAGTGCAAGAGCCATCAGCCGCGGTGGTCTCCTTCCATTGAAGACCATAATAGGTTGGCGATGGCAATGAATCGATAAGTGAAAACATATCGACGAGCTGCAGAGGGATCCACACGCTGCAGGTTGTCCACGTACTGCGCCTCATCCCAATAGAGTGTGAGGTTAGCAATATCAAGACCAGCGTTTGTACCCATGGGAATACCCACGTCTTGATGACGAACAAGGCCATCCACTGTATATAGATATGTATTAGTAACAATAAACTGAAGATGCTGAAGAATGTCAAACATAGAAAGAGTGTCAGATCCCGTATGCAACAGCAGCAGGTCGAGGCAAGTCAAAACCAGGTTCGTTACCAAGCTACAATGGAGCTCGCCAACGAAGAAGCCACATACCGGAGGTTACTCCGACAGCAGCATTTTCGAGCAAACGAAGAACAAGAGGGGCCTACCGAGGACGAGAGAAACAAGGAGGCCACAACAGTTTTGATTTAGAATCTGTTGTACATGTGCAATTGGCAGCAACGTGAACTATTGGCCATGCGGCAGGTCTTCATCCGCCACGAAACAACGTTTATAGCACCGGACAAGAAGATCGCTACCCTGCAGGCCGAGATCAGCACAGTACAGGCCGCCAACAGCCAGCCGCAGACAATCAACGACCAGCTGCAGTCTGATGTCAGCACGGGGTTGACACGACTGTCGGCAGCTGCGTCGACGGGCAGCGCAGTAGCAGACTGCAGCCCAGCCTTGGCCGCGCAGGCCAAGCAACTCGAGGAGCGGATCAACCACGTGGTCGCCTCCCTTGGCGACATCAGCAAGTTTGCTGGAGCGTCGACAATCAGCAATCAGTTGCAGACGCCCAGCGACCGCGTTCAGCAACGACCGGCCGCTGACGCCAAGAAATGGAAGATGCCGAACTTCAAAATCGAGAAGTTTGACGACTACCACAAGACCGATCCGCTGCAATGGTGGATGGCATTCAACGCAGAGGCGGACGTGCATCACACTCCACCACTGCGGCGGCTTGACGCACTCTAACTCCAACTCATCGGAGGGGCGCAGGCCTTCATGACGCACATGGTGGTCACATTGGAATGCACCATTGCCACCCTCCACACCAAGATTACGTGGGAGGAATTCGAGAAGAAAAGGAAGACCCGGTTCATGGTCAACAACGACAAGCGCCACGCCTTGAACAAGATCTTCCGCATGTTTTAAGGCCAGCAACCTTCACGGGAGTGGCTGACGAAGTGGCAAAGACTTGTTGCCACCCCGGAGTTGAACTTACCGTTCGACGCAATCTCGGCCGAATTCTTCGCTCGGTCATGCGACGCCTTGACAACTGCTCTCGACAGCGAATTCCAGTATGAGACCTTTGACGAAATGATCTCAAAGGCAAGGGAGCTCATACAAGGTAACCGGCGCGCGGCCAACAAGGTCCGCCAACAGCCCGGTTACGTGGAGAAAGGCAAAGGTCAGTGGACGCCACAAGTAGCAGCAGTCCAGCAAGGACCTAGTGAGGACCACGCAGCCGCGTCTACATCAAGTGACGGAGATGTGGCGGCAGCGATACCACAGCAACGCTCAAGACCCCGAGGGGGAAAACAAAGGCGAAACCAGCGTTGGCGGATGGAGCACGACAGGCACCATGGACAAAGTTTGGCATTACCGAAGACATGTTCAAGTTGCGACAAAAATGGGGATGCTGTTTTTGGTGCAAGAGCACCAAACACATCACCAGCGCATGCCTCGACAAGGACAAGGAGAATGTCAAACGTCCAAGCTCGGGAAATTGAGCACCGCGGGAAGTGCAACGACATCACTTCCCAATCCGTCGGAGAAGGCTGCCTTGCTATCAGTCTCTCTCACATCCGGGGATGACGCGGTAGTCGCAAGTTCTCGTATCGATTTTGAGAACTATGTTGTCGAGCTGGTCCCACCGTTGAACCAGCCTCTTCACGTGCAAGATTTAAGCGCAGGCGCGGTAGTTCCGTCGTCGGACAACGAACCGGTTGCTTCGCCAGCCCTTCTATCGGACGATCCGTCACTTTGGGCGAGTCTTGAGGAACTCGACCCGTTGACGATTGAGGACTTCCAATGGTTGCCTCTTCCCTCCACCGGTTCTTTGCCAACTCCGCATTGCACCGCCTTAATGGCACATTTGCGCGAATACTTGCACGCTGCAGTACCACCTCAATCGACGGGAGGCGGAGTAGCGGTTGTTGGCCTTCGTAGCTATCTTGCGAAGATCGACCCCGAGCACGCAACGCAACGGTACCTCGACATCGACGCGCCGCTCCTCTACATCCACATTCAGATCGGAAAGGCGACCTGCAGTGCCTTGATCGATTGTGGAGCGTCTCGCAGCTGCATCAGCCAAGACTTCATGGCACGCGCCAAGCTTGGCCCGCGCGTTCGAAGGAAAAGTCAGCCTACGCACGTCACGTTGGCCGATGGTCACACGCAAAAGCCAATCGACCGATGCGTTGACTCGGTGCCTGTGTACTTTGCCCCGCTAGCATGTGAGGCCGTGTCATTCGACACATTGGACCCTAAGTTCGATATGATCTTAGGCATGTCGTGGCTGCAAAGCGAAGACCATCCGGTGAACTTCTATCGACGCACCGTTCACGTTCGTGACCGGCGTGGCGAATTAGTCTCGTGTACGGTGCCGCTTCCTCATCCTTTGATTGGTTGTTACGTGGTCTCTGCGGCGAGCATTCGCCAATCCATCCGACGGAACGACATCGAGGACATGGGCATATGTTTTTTTCACGCCCTCCCACCCGGTGATCTCCCCAAGACTGATTAGTCGGACCCACACATCATTGAGCTGTTGGACAGCTATGAGGATGTCTTCCAAGCTCCCCCCGGAGTAATACCGGATCGGCCCATACGCCACGGGATCACTTTCGAGGACGGCGCCGTACCTCCGCGCGGATGTATCTACCGCATGAGCGAAGAGGAGCTTCAAGTGCTTCGGGCACAACTAGACGACCTCTTGGCCAAGGGCTGGATTCGCCCTAGTTGTTCGCCATACGGTGCTCCCATTCTCTTCGTCCGAAAAAAGAACAAGGACCTTCGTTTGTGCATCGACTATCGGAAACTTAACGCACAAACGATCAAGAACGCCGACCCTCTCCCTCGGATCGATAACCTTCTCGAGCGACTAGGCGGCGCCAAGTACTTCTCGAAGCTTGAACTCAAGTTCGGATACCACCAGATCAAGATCCAGCCAAGAGATCGGTACAAAACCGCATTCAAGACGCGGTATGGGCACTCTGAGTGGATCGCCATGCCTTTCGGTGTCACCAATGCCCCGGCTACTTTCTAAGCGGCTATGACGACGGAATTTCGCGACTTGCTCGACCGCACCGTACTCATTTACCTTGATGATATCTTGGTTTATAGCCGGACGCTGGACGAGCACCTCAAGCACCTTCGCACCGTTTTGGAGCGGCTCCGTATCGTCAAGTACAAGGCGAACCGCGACAAGTGTGAGTTTGCCCAGCAAGAGTTGGAGTACATAGGCCACTACGTTACGCCACAAGGCATTCGTCCGCTTACGGACAAAGTGCAAGCCATTCAAGATTGGCCGGACCTCAAGTGTACAACCGACGTCCGCTCCTTTCTTGGCTTAGGATCATACTACATGCGCTTCGTCAAAGGTTTTCAACAGATCGCTGCACCATTGTCGCGACTTCAGTCCCCCTTCGTGCCCTTCGAGTTGAACGACGAAGCCCGACACGCGTTCCATACGCTGAAGACGGCTTTGCTCCAAGCTCCCGTCTTAAGCATCTATGACCCGACCTTGCCTACCAAAGTGACTACGGACGCTTCCGGCTATGGCATTGGCGCAGTTTTGGAACAACATGACGGCACAGACTGGCATCCGGTTGAGTACTTCAGCCAAAAGGTGTTGCCCATCAATTCACTTGATGATGCGAGGAAAAAGTAACTACTTAAGCGTTGGCGTCACTTTCTTCTCGAGCGTCGGCGATTCACGTGGGCAACGAACAACAATCTGTTGACCTATTACAAGACGCAAGACATGGTGAGCAGCACGATCGGTCAATGGATGTACTTCATTGACCAGTTCGACTTCACCTCCAAGCACATCCCGGTCTCCTCGAACAAGGCAGCCGATGCTCTCTCGCGAAGACCCGATCTTTGCGCCTTGGTGCATTCCACATCCGGCCTCGACGAGGACCTACAACAGAATTTCGTAAACAGCTACAAGTCATATCCGGGATTCTCCACACTCTACGCGGACTTATCATCGGATCAACCGCCGACAAGCAATTACCGCATTGTCGACGACTACTTGCTTCTCCATACACGAGGCAAGGACTTGTTGTGTGTTCCCCAAGACCGCATCTTGCGCACTCGCCTCCTCGGCGAATACCACGATTCGCGGTTGGCGGGATACCTTGGCATTGCACACACACTTGCGCGACTCCGCCAGCGATTTCACTGGCCGGACATCATCAGCGACGTCAACCGGTACATTCAATCATGTGCAGTTTGCCACCGGAACAAAGGGTGCCATCAGCTCCCGTACGGCGAACTGAAACCATTGTCGATTCCTCGGGAACCAGGTCTCTCCATTGCTATGGATGTGACAGGTCCTTTCCCTCGTGATCACCTTGGCCATGATGGTATTCTCATGGTCGTTGACCGTTCGAGCAAGTACGCTCGATTTCTTTCATGCAAGTATCATGCGACGGCTCCCGAGCTCGCACGACTTTTGAGTACTGGCTGGTTTTGCAGCCACGGCGTTCCGGAAGACATCGCCAGCGACCACGACACTCGTTTCATGTGAGCCTTTTGGATGGCACTCATGGTGGAATCCGGCACCAGCATGAAACCGAGTTCCACACGGCATCCTCAAACGGATGGGCAAACTGAACGTGCGCACCAGACTGCGCAGATGATGCTCCGCACACTCATCCGTGGATCAGAAGGACTGGGTTGACCGCCTTCCCGGCATCGAGTTCGCCTACAACACTTCAGTGCACCCGGCGATTGGCGTGACCCCATTCGAGTTGCATCACAGTGGACGAAAAGGACGTATCTTCGCAGACATTTTGCTTCCACGGGCTGCCGATATCGACGCCGCTGGCTCCCCCGCTTCTACACGGAAGTACAGGGAACTGCTGGCCAAAGCCCGCGCAAACATGCATAAGGCTCAGGTCCGTATGCAGCAGCAAGCGAACCGGCGTCGCATCCTATGTCCAATCCGCGCTGGCAACCTGGTGTGGGTCACCTCCGAGGAATTTGCGCTCGATCAGCACGTCTCGCGCAAGCTCCTCCCTAAGTGGTTTGGACCATGGAGGGTCACTTCAGCAGCTGCCGATGACCCCGCGGGTCCATCTTTCATCATTGAGATTCCCTCGCATTTTACGGTCCACCCGGTATTTCACGCTTCCAAGCTGGTGGTCTACACTCCATCCTCCGCAGCGGACTTCCCGGGTAGACGGTCACACGGCTCTCCTTCAATGGATGGTCACCAGGAGGTCGACCGCGTTCTCACGCATCGCAAGCATGGCAACAAGCCAATGCAGTACAAAGTTACATTTAAGCAATGCGATCCTGACGACACACGCTGGATTTCACAAGTTGACCTGAAGGCGACAACACCCCTCATCTTCGCGCATTACGAAAAGCAGCGACTTGCTAAGGAAGCTGCCCAACCTGCCCGCCCCGTACGGACATCGGACAGACAGCTTCGCCCTCGCAGTAAGCTCGATCTTCAAGGGGGGGAGTGTGTGGCATTCTGAGCCACACGGGCCCAAGTTAGGGCCCGGTTCCAGATAGGCAGGGTAGGCCTAGGAGGACTACGGTTCAGATGAGGCCCAGGTAGGCTAGGACCACGGCGTTTCGGACAGGCCAGGGGTAGAAGCCCAGGCCAACGGCCACAAGGCCGGTACCGGTCCAGCATAGGACCTACCGGCGGCGCAGTTTCAGAGGTTGCCGTGTTTAGGCGCCAAGCCCAGTTTGAATCTAGACCGTTGATCAGATCAACGGTCCAGGCCGGTAGGTACCAGCAGGTAGGAGGCCGGCCCAGCACTACAAAAGGCTGGGTACCAGCCTCAGTAGGGAGTTTAGAGGTTAGTAGTGAGACAGGTTAGTAGTGAGACATTCGTCTGGAGATTAGTGCAGCGCTCCAGCATCAGCAAATTAGCGCAACGCCCAGCGCTAGTGAGATTAGCGCACCATTCAACCAGAGGCAGGAGCAGCGAGGGAGACAACGCGCAGCGGCAAGGAGGAAGTAGCGCAGCAGCTGGAGCAGCGCAGTCATCAGCCCAGCCCAGCAACACGGCGCCATAGCCACCATCACGGGTAACAGGGAGAAAGGTCCTACCTTTCTTCCCTCTCCCGTCCCCCCTTCCGCTCTCGCTCATCTCTCCCTCTCTCTCTCTCTCTCTCTTCTCCTACTCCTCTAAGTCTAAGTCTACACCTGGGTTCTCCTACGGGACTACTATAGGTATGGAAGATGGTTACAAATTCTGATGACA